TTGAATCACACAGTTGCCCACATAGACAGCTGTTTCTCACATTTAAATTCAGGGTTGAATAGCATCACAATCATTGCACAAGCTAAACGTTCTGGTCGGTTTGTTCTAAATTCGTCAAGCTTGAAATCCATTGCAACTCTACTCTGGGGTTAATATTTCTCATTGGGGCCTGATACATAATGATACTGCAGCAATTTTCATAAGAAGAATTACTGAAGATTTTCTAAACAGGCTTTTAATGTTACTGCAATGGTTCCCGAAACTGTCTTCAGATCTCAGCCTGGAATAATATTACCTTTGGCTTCTGAGATGAAACTTTTCACATTGGAATGTTTGGCTTGTACATCAATGTTCAGTAATAACTGGTTGGAGTCAAGGAACGTCTGTATGTTCAGCCGCTATGTGGGTGATTTCCAACAATAGGACAAAATTCAAGATCTACAGAAAAATGTTAGGACCAAGAATAGCTCCTCCTGTACTTTTACACCATCAGCTGGATCCAACAACAACTTGTTTTGACATTGTAAATTACCAAAACACTTCATAGGAGCAACGCTCAGATAGAATTTGACACTGTGCTACATACAGAGCTATCAGGACAGGTGAGCGAAAGCTTGGCGAAAGAGGGAGATCTTAAGGACAAGTGTCTTAAATGTGGAGACAGACAGGTAGAGATGGTTAGGGAGGAGTTCCAGAAAGCTTGCAGGACCCCAGACAGCTGAAAACAGTGCTGTCAAGGGTGCGGTGACTAACACTGGGATGTACAAGAGGCCTGACTGAAGCAGTACAGGTATCAAGAGGGGAGGGGGTGATGCTACAGGGCTGGAAAAAGTATCAGAGATTGGGAGGAAGTGAAATCAAGGAGGGATTTGAACACAATGGTTAGAATTTTATAATGGATGCATTACCAGACCAACAGGCAGGATGGTAGACCACAGGAGCAAGAATAGGCCATTCAGTCCATCAAGCCTGGACCTCTCTGTCTCCATATCGGGCAACCACCTAGAAACCAATATTCATTTCAAGCCCACCGACTCCCACAGCTACCTAGAATACTCCTCCTCCCACCCA